CAGAGAAGTCCTCTAAGGTAAAGACTGAGTGTCCTTGGGATTGGGTACGTAGTAGGCAGCTAGCTGTAGCCAGAGAGTTGTTTCAGTGGGGTGCCGGGGGCCAGAAGCCCAATAACCCAGGTTGAAGACACTGAACTTGCTTTAAGAAGCCTTCAAGTTTGTTATGATCAGGGAAGGTGGATAATCCCAGGGACCTGAATGGAGTTCCAGGAATGAAAGGAAAGGGCGGGAAAGGTAGGCTGGGGCTCTGTTGTGAGGTGCCTGTGGGGGGTGGGGGTTGTTATTGGTAATGGTGAGATCCAGCTCTCTGCTCTTAGGCTAATGGTAACTTGACAGATGAGAGGGTTAAGCCTTTTTAGGGTGAGACCAGGTGGAATTAAGGCTTATTAGAAGGCCAATGCCATTTTTTATGGTCCTGATGGTTTTTAACAGCTACTTTAACAACAGAATGATGAAAATGTGTGGTATTCTTTCTCCCTTGGGATAATGTGGCTGCTGAAAAAGGTCACAACTAATAGGAAAAATGAGTTTTATTGCTTAATTGTGGATTCAATTTATTTGGATACTTCCTGTTACCATTACCATGTGTTTTCTGAGTTGACTAGTTGACTAGGCCAGGCTTCTCTACAAGAGTGTGTATGTTTAAAAAAAATTCTCTGAAATTCTATCCCACCCTGAAAATAAAAAGCCAAAAAGTACATACATAAGTGAAATATACCTAGTTTAGGCTTGTTTTTGTATTATTTTAGTTTTGTCGAGAAGAGCTATTTGGGGATATGATGGTTTTGATCAAGGTTTCTCAATGTTGGCACAATTTTTTGAGTTGGTTGATCCTCTGTGGTGCACTGTAGAGTGTTTAGCAGCATCCCTGGCTCTACCCACAAGATGCTTGTAAACACCCTTATCGCGCCCAGTTGTGACAGCTGAAAATATCTTCCAGCATTATGAAAAGTCTCCAGGGTGGGGGATGGGAAGAAGGTAAAATTGCCCTAGACTGAGAACCATGGGTTCTCAATATATATTGTAGTGGTTTTATCAGAAAACAACTACTTCCTCCTGCTGCAGTGTGGATAGTTTTATTGAAGCTTGTGAAATCTGAGCAACTTTTTATCACCAGAAGAAAACTAATGAATATTTATAAATTCCCTTGTCAAAAGTTTACTTAACAAATATTTAAAGAAAAAGGAGGGGCACCTGGGTGGCTCAGTCGTTAAGCGTCTGCCTTCGGCTCAGGTCAGGGTCCCGGGGTCCTGGGATCGAGTCCGGCATCAGGCTCCCTGCTCAGTGGGGAGTCTGCTTTTCCCTCTCCCTCTGCTGCTCCCTCTGCCACTCCCCCTGCTTTGTGCTCTCTCACTCTCGCTGTCTCAAATATAAATAAATAAATAAATCTAAAAAAATGTTTAGGGGCGCCTGGGTGGCTCAGTCGTTAAGCGTCTGCCTTCGGCTCAGGTCATGATCCAAGGGTCCTGGGATCGAGCCCCGCATCGGGCTCCCTGCTCTGTGGGAAGCCTGCTTCTCCCTCTCCTACTCCCCCTGCTTCTCCCTCTCCCACTCCCCCTGCTTGTGTTCCTTCTCTCGCTGTGTCTCTCTCTATCAAATAAATAAATAAAATCTTTAAAAAAAAAATGTTTAAATAAAAAAAAAGGAAAAGCTACTTTACCGGTTGCTTGACCATTCCTCTGCTTACCCCATGGACCCACTCTTTCATTTAGTTCCTGAATATGCTGTCATTTAATTTTAATCTGGGTCACTAAGTTCTCAATGCAAAGGGTGTTATGCGGTAGAAAGTGCCCAAATAATAAAAACCTGTCTAGAACTGGGTGTGAACATGTGGATTTCATGCACGACATGGATTCTAGTGTTAGTTTCACACCTATTGCTTTCTAACTTTGACCAAGCCACTTTTTCTGTGCAAATTTTCTCATCTGTGACAGGAAGGAGATAAAGTATATTATCTGTAAGTTTGCTTCTAGCTCTAAGATTGAAATGTTTTGATTGTTTTTTGGGGTTGTCCCCCCTGCATGCACCACATCCCCCAGTGCAGTGCCACCCAAAATGCGCTCTCTAGGTCGCCAATGGTCTATAGACTACATTGTTGGTCCACACTGAGTCAAGTACAGACATAGAGAGTAAACAATTAGAAATGGTTATTATAATTTGACAGAGTAATTTTATGCCTGTTACATATAATACAAAAAATTGAGCTTATAGTTTGTCTTAGTCTTTTAAATTGAACTTTCTTAGTAATTCATTTTTATTATGCTTTATGAAGATAGCAGTCCACATTGGATTGGAAGAAGAAAAATAAAACAAACTGGTCTTTCACTAGAGGTAGTTTGAGAAGCACTGCCCTGAGGTATGATGGAAATATTTTTTTGCTTCTCTTTCTACCCTGGGCCAATAAGAAAGATATTTAGTATATTCCTCTTCTGGGGTTTCAGTGAAGAGAAGGGCAAGATACTGCCTATCTGCTTTATTAGCAGCAGAAAGTTGGTGGCAAAGAAAATAAGAGGTAATTCTGGAGTAAATACGAGGTTCTCTTGGATTATATGTATATGTAAGTCTTCACATAGCTCATGTTAGTGTCTTGCATCAAATAGCGTGTTTATCTTAGAACAGAAACCCAAAGAGCAGTGAAAATGTCCATTTAAAAATTATTTTAACCCCAAGAATCCCTTAGATATGCCATCTATTAGAATGTTTGGTATACTGGGACTCCGTACTAGCTGATGTTGGCGAGGTAGGTAGAAAAAGGAAGAGGTGTGGATTATACTTGCTAAAGAGATTAACATAGATGTTTTTAAGTCTATTCTGTCATTCAGACTCATTCAACATTTGGTTTCCCAAATCTGTTACACGGACTCAGGTGAGGTAGACTGATAGGTGAACAAGGGCACTTAAGCAATGAGCACTTCACAGTCTGACCTTGGTCTTTAGATGTTAAATCAAGGTGGAGGAGCCAGCCTTCAGACTGACGCTTGTTTGAGGGAGAAAGCATTGCTGAGTTCTCTGCACCATGGGCCACTTGTTCGAATACCTTTTATCCCATATTGAGTGGAATAATCCAGAGAGGCCTGTCCTACTCCTGGGAACCCTTCACACATGACCTGGCATTGTGCAGGAACAGTCTCTTGGCCTGCAGTTCCTGCCTGGTCTGTATGGGTTTTGTAGTGTACTTCCTCTTCCAAAGTAAAAAAGGCAAGATTTTTGCTTGCTCTATTAGCAGCAGAAAATCACCCTTTCTTCCAGTTTTTTTTTTTTTTTTTAAATCCAGAAGATGAAAATATATAACATACTTGGAAACTCCACTGGCAGACTTGGCAGGCATTTCATATTTACTTGGACTTAACATGAATTGGATTTGGTCCTCTGATTTCCCCACCTCCATCTCTCGGAACAAGTTATTTATTATCCAAGTGAGTCTGTGTTAGTGGATCAGACATGCACATGGCACATCTATTGTAAGTGTGTTTGTTCAGTAAGATTTATGCTAGCCCAAATTGTTTTATATTTGTTTTCATTGTTGAAAATTTACTGTATTCATTCTTGGTTTGGCCTAAGTATTTGTAGTGTGCTAGGGGTTCCTGTGGTTGAACATTTTATCACTGTAACACTTCATGCAAAGGAAATTAAAAAATATATAGTGAAAGCATTTCCCTAATATGTTTCCAATCAGCTGTGTACTTTAGTAATTTGATTTGTAGGAACTAGAAAGAAGAGTATTACTACGCTCTTTTCAATCATTCATAATTCTCTGGGAATTCAGATCATGGTTCCAAGTTTATGAAAATGTCTCTTGAAATTTTCTTCAGTCCTTTAGTATTCTGTTTGTGTGTATTGAGAGGGTATTTTATTTTATTTTATTTTATTTTCTTACCACAGCAATCTCGAAAAGAGTTCAGGGAAGAGTTCAGAGTACAGGCGAGTCTTCGGTCTGTATCTGGGACAAGAAAAACTGATGTGGATTGAGGTTGATTGGCTTGCCAGAAGTCATTCATTGGTACAGAGAGCCAGGTCCTTTTATTTGTGCATTATCCTATGTGTGTGTTCCAGCTTCTGTACTCCTTGGGCTAAGCAATCAGACTGTGACTTGTAAATCCCCTCGCCTGGTGGACTCCTAATAATCTAATATGCAGTGATGAGTGGCTTAGGCAGGAGCATCTTCCCTGAAAGTGTAACACATGGGATGGAGGGTGATATTTGGATGAGCTAAATAAAGATCTAGGCTGTGATCTTTGCACCATTATTTCTTTGGCTCTTTCTACAGGGACTTAAGACTAGCTTGTTTCCTTTTTTTGAGGATCTCTGGCCTTTGACTTACTTCGGTTTTTGCCAATGAATGAGCATGACTTCTGTTTTGGCTAGTGAATTAACTTGTGATAATCCATACATTTATAGTTTCAGATTTTCTTAATCCAGTTCACTATGTAAAAGTGAAATCAAAGTGAAATGTGAAATCATAGCTCTCAAACTGGGAGCAAGACTTGGAAGGTTTCATCTGGTGAAGACAGTAGCTTGTCAAGGGTCTTAAGTGGGTATAGAATTTTGCAATCATTTCCTATTTTTAATTTTCTGCTTTTATTTCCTATCATGTTTTAAGCTTCCCTCTTAACCTTCACAGTTTTGTGTTCATTTAAGTCTTATGAAAAATCTCCTCACACAGTGGTGATTTTAGCCCTGGTCCTCCTCCTACTTCGCTAGGCATAAATAAAGTCGTGAGGTCATGTATTTTGGCCAGGAGAGTTCATCAATCCATGCTTTTCCATTTGAAAACACAGTCTGGGAGGTTAATCTTATCAGTAGTCAAAGAATTAATGTAAGTGAAAACCAAGTGGTTATTTAAAAGGCTTAGTTGTGTTTTGAAGAAAATAGCCAAGGGACATGATTGTTCCCACTATTGCTAGTCCTGGCCTAGAAGACCTAACTTCTTTTGCTCCAACGATAAAGGAAGTACACATTCATTCTTGGTCTTTTTTCCTGCTTCTGTGTTTCCTGTTTAGGTTGCACCTATGAAGGAAATACCTATAACAGCTCCTTCAGATGGCAGAGTCCTGCACAACCCTGTGCTCTACGTCAGTGCCAGGTAAAGTCTATTTTCCTCTCCACTGAAAACGATCGGTAGTCTTCCTCAGAAACATCTCTTAGACAGCAGAGCACAAAACCAAAAACAAAACAAAAATAAAACCAAAAACAAATAAAAACCCCCAACTGTGTAATTGTATCACTGTATCCTTATACATATTTACTGTGACATTCACCATAATAAGACAGGTACAGGATAGATACTATATAGCACTCACTTCTAGAAACATGCAATGGAATTGTTCACCATTGTTAAATTGTGCCTGGAAAATCTCTGGGAAGATGTATATGTCCTTGGGGAAAATTCATGTCTTCCTGTGAGTCAGCTTTGAGCAAAATCTGAATTCCTGTTAGCAAAAAGAGGTATTGTTAGAGGATATATGTTTTCCTTCTTTGATTTAGAAACATTTTGAACTGGAGCCATTCTGTAAGCTTATTAAATCAAAGCAATTAGTACACTGTGAACTCAATGATTTCAACCTGACAAATGTGAGAACCACCAGTTCAGTTCCTAAGGAGCCCACTGTGGTTGGTGCTTGCTGCACCCTGCAAAGTGTTCTGATTCTGCGTGACTCTAGTTGTTACAGGTCTTCAATAGAGCAAGATAAGGAGAAATGAGGAATCTCAATGTTCAAACTCCTTTTCTTATCTCTAAGGAAATAGTTAAAAAAATGCTCATCTAATCTTGACATAATTTAAAAATTCTCTATAGAGAAAATGCTGTTAAATCATTTTACTCCTAGCCCCATTTTACTGTTCCAGGATATGCTCTTGCATTTAAAGGGGAAAGAAAGGGGTACCTGGGTGGCTCAGTCGGTTAAGCATCAGCCTTCGGCTCAGGTCATGATCTCCGGGTCCTGGGATTGAGCCCCACATCGGGCTCCCTGCTCAGCAGGGAGTCTGCTCCCTCTCCCTCTGCCTCCTCCCCCTTGCTCATGCTCTGTCTCTCAAATAAATAAATACAATCTTTAAAAAAAATAAAGGGGAGGGCGCAGGGTGGCTCAGATGGTTAAGCGTCTGCCTTCAGCTCAGGTCATGATCCCAGGGTCCTGGGATCGAGTCCCGCATCGGGCTCTCTGCTCCTTGGGAGCCTGCTTCTCCCTCTGCCTCTCTCTCTCTCTGTCTCTCATGAATAAAAAAAAAAAAAAAAAAAGGCATATTTAAAAAAAAATAAAGGGGAAAGAAAGATTAGTGTGATAATGCATATTTCTTTTGGATCTTATCTCAAGTATGCTGACATTTAGTTTACTAAAATCTGACTTTTATGCAGCCACGCTGTTATATACTCACAGTGGGCATACTCACTCGAAAGATCGTCAGTTATTTATTTGGCTAAATGTTCAGTTCATTTGTGTAGTAAATCTAAATTATTTGTGAAAATAAGCAGTAGATAGAACAGATGTAAATAATAGATTAAGTGAATTGATAAATATTTGTTGAATTTTTGCTCTGGGTTATAGATTCAACCAGCTTCATGGAACAAAGAGATGAGAGCAGTGAGTTTTAATAATATCAAAAGTCCACATTCATTCTAAAATTTGCACCACCCCACTCACACCCTACTTCTTGACCAATAAAATTTCCACTCTGATAGGGGCACTCTGAAAGCCCTGGTTACACTGCCTTTTAAGCAAGACAACCTTGTTGGAGTTGCCTTTTGGAGTGTAGTATAACATTTTTATGCAACAGCCAGAGATCTTGAAGATCCTCAAATTGCATGGACCTCAAATTGCATGGTGAATTTTGCTACTTTCAGATGAAGACTTTATTTGAATTAAATGAGAACTATTATCTGGGAGGAAATATTTTGTTGACTGAATAACACATGAAGCCATTTTCAAGTGTTGACACTGAAACTCCTATTGCCTATCGTCTTTGGCCACCAGCCACTCATCAGGCCCACAGAGAATGATGCAGGAATATCCCATTATTATTGGAAGCCATCCCAACAACCAACAGCCCTGGGAGTCAGGAAGTGCTGAACTGCAGAGCAGAGCCCAGAGAGGTGATTCTACCTACCAAAGATGAACTTTGCCTTTTTGTTCTCCTTTTTAAAAATGTTGCCTAAGCCCTGCTAGCTAGTTTAGAAATATTATTTCATTCAATGGTCATAAAAGCCAACCTGTAAGGTAGTTTATAAAAGCTGTTCCTCTGCTCCTCTGGCACCTTCCCACTCCTGCTTATTTTCTTGCTTCTCTAGGGAATGAGAGCGCATCTGTGAATGCGGGAAATAGCCACTTACTGGTACCTATCAGGGAAGGCTTCCTTTAAGACCCTCCTCTGCAGAATGGCACAATTGCAAACTCTTTAAGCCCTTCCCTTCTCAGGGCACAAGATCAGCAACAGAGGAGAGAGTGGGGCATAGTGGGTACAAAATACAGGCTCTGCCACTCACATAGCTTGTTTCTTCCCCTCTCTGGACCTCTCAGTCTCATCTCCTGTGCGGCCAGGATGGTACCATCTCCTAGGATGTTGGTAAGCATCACTAAAGACAGTTCTGGTAGAGGCTACATGGACTGGGCAGGACTAGGTACCAGACAGGTAACAGCTAGTCAAACGACCTGGTTTATTTCCATTTGAGTTGAATTCTAGCTGCTTTCTTTTTTTTTTTTTGATATTTCTTTTTTCTTTTCTTCCTTTTTTTTTTTTATTATGTTAGTCATCATACATTACATCATTAGTTTTTGATGTAGTGTTCCATGATTCATTGTTTGCATATAACACCCAGTGCTCCATTCAATATGTGCCCTCCTTAATACCCATCACTGGGCTAACCCATCCCCCATCCCCCTCCCCTGTAAAGCTAGCTTCTTTCTTAAATCCTCCTACCGAAAGAGTTTCGATGGTGAAAAATTTACCTTTATTTTCCACTTTGACTTTCTTACTAAAGAGAAAAATCTGAAGATCACAAACAGGAAATTCATGCTGGGAACAATTCTGAATCCTCCATCTGGTTTGCAGATAGGAAAGGGAAATTGATCTGGGGCCATAGTTTTTTGCATTGCTTCAGTTATGTAACTAAAGCACAGATCCTTTTTTGATGTTGTAGATTGTGATATTTTGACAGTTGCTCTTTTCTTTCCCAAATGTGATCTAGACCACAATAAATTCCTCTGGGAGTGGAATCCTCAGGCCTCACAAATATGAAGACATCTAGGATATAACTTTCCTTGTTGGCCTGAGATAGTATGGTAGCAGACAGGATGAAAAAAAATATCTAGTTGTCACATTGTTACATTTTTTTTCAGCCTGTGCTAGCCCTCCCTGCAAAACAAAATTGAACAAACAAACAAATCCATTTATAAAATGGGTAGAGAATATGGAGAAAATTCTTCAAAGGCCAACTCTGAAAATTAATCAAAAAAATGTTTCAACTGACATTAAAATACTAGAATCCCAAGATCAGTTTGCAAATGAGTCACTTGATTTCATTATTAAGATCCAAAGGCTCTATTTTTCCATATATGGTATGAACTTTGAAGTAGTTTTATCTAATCTCATCATTTGATGCTTGAGAGCCAGGCTCTCTATGTGAGGCAGAGTGAAATTTCTACGATTGCAGAGCTAGTCTAGCTATTTCTAGAAGGGTGGTAAGTGAATTAGGTCTCCAGATGCTAGTCTGGGGTGTTACACATGTACTCTGTGCCTCATCATTAATGGCTTAAAGTGTAATAACAATTATAGAAAATACAGTCAGTGTTGACAACTTAAAACAATTGTGAATGAACAGCCAGACTCTGTTAGCTACTGACGGACAGGAAGAAGGTCTTAAATACTAGATTTAAAAGAAAGAACTTTGGGCCAAAGAGAAAGACCGAGGACAGGGTCAAGACAGGATTTGTGCTCCGAGTTTGAAAGCATCCAGGCCGTGAGCTGGGGAGATGGGACCTCAATGGTGCCATGTCCTCTGGACCTGACGCCCACCCTCCTTTGCACTTTTGGTGTCCGGACTCTTCCCCTACTCCCTTGATTTCTTTCCCAAAGTGAGTCACTCCTCAGTGGGACTTCTGGGCTGATGTATTTGTGGCATTCTGTTTTTCAGGAAGGTGTTGTCACAGAGTCTGAGCTGCGATGTGTTGTGCATTGTAAAAACCCTTCCAAGCATCTGGGAACGTGCTGCCCCACCTGTCCAGGTAACATTTGCAGGAAGGGAAGCCTGCCAGTCTCCCTGCTACAGCACATGACTGTGAAATCTCCGTGTGCTCTTTCAAGAATGCAGGATTCTCCCCCTCCGGACTGGAGCTTGTCTCCCTTTGTGTCTGTGTACATCATGGGTTTAGAGAGCAAACTCCTTTGCATAGAAATGTCCGGTTGTACTCCGGTGTGCCCAGGATGAATGCAATGTGCTGTAGGTCTTGGCATGTGGATGCTTCAGGCTCCGGAGGCCTCCTCTCCACTCCACAGGGCCACAGGTAGTGCTTGCTTTGGAAGGAGAGGCTGTGGCTTTCTCTTGCTTCCAGAAATGTCTTTTTACTGCTTCATATTGCAGTATCTTGGCTAGAACTCGCCTTGGTGATGAGGTGACCAGATGTTTTCTGAAAACTGAGAGCTGTGTCCCTAAGTGAATTTAGCTTAGGGTTTTGCTGGTCTCAGTTTTCGGTGTGGTGCAACAAGTTGGACCCACTGTCTTTTAAGAGGGCCCCACTGCCTAGCTGACAGCAAAGGGGTCTTTCCTTTCCAGTGGCTAGAGTGTTTCCTCTTACTTTTCTGAACAGGATTACAAAGGCCTCCTGCATCTTTTCTTGCCCTTACATACGAGCCCAGGGATTTTGAGGTGAGAGATTTTTTTTCTGATCCTTTAAGCCCCTGGCGCATGCTCTCAGACAGATGTTCCGAGTTTTGGTTTTACTCTGAGTGCTTTTCCTCACTGGAGGCAATACTCACAACTAGTACTCATTGCTTTTGAGATTAATCTCCAGAGGGCCTTCTGTTCTGCAAAACTTCCTGGGGAATGGCTCAGGTACCATGCTGGGATGCTCTGCAAAGATGAGCCCTGCTCCTTTTGCAGGCAGCTGCTTGCCCTCCCCTACCCCATGCGGTCTGAGACGTGTCTGAACCTGAGTCCCTTTCAGAGAGTCCAGTTTTTTCTCATCTTTAAATGACAACGAGGACAGTTGCTCTCCACTACCTCTAACCTTCCTGAGTTCCCTGGACGGTCTTGATTGAGCCAAACTTCCTTTCCACATTGAGATTTCTGTGAAGCTTGTGTTCTTAGATGAGCTTACGAGAAGGCCAAGAACTGGTTGAAAGTAGAAGAATTCTTTCCATAATCCAATTATTTTGTATCTATCAAACAGTTTGTCTGAGTTCCTTTTGCCTCTGAATGCATTTAATGCTTCGTATTATGTAACCATACTCTTAAATGCCGAAAGGGTCCTTATGAAGTTAGGTCAGTAGTTCTCTAGGCTGCACATTAATATCACCTGAGAAGCTTTAAAAAAAAAATAAAGCTGGATGCCCGGGCTGCATTTCAGACCAGTTCCATCAGAATCTCTGAGGACAGAATCCAGGCCTCCCACATAATTCCTATACACCGGCAAGCTTGAGATGGATAACAGAGCAAATTTTATATGCCATAGAGATTTAAAAATCATTGTAGCTCTTAAATGTGAATTCAGTTGTGTTGAAGAGACTGTTGCTTTATTGGTACAGAATCGACTCAGCGTATGCAACATTCTTCCTTACTTATGAGCTCATCATGTTTTTAGGCTGCCTTTGGAAATGTGGGTACGCAAACAGCTGAGTGAATTTATTTCAGCAGTTGAAGTTATCATATTTGAGCAATTGCTTCTTTCATTTGGCTTTTGGTTGAGTTCCCAGGAAGGAAAGGCTGAACTGTATGATTGCACATACTGCAGCGCTCAGTCCTCACGAACATCCAGGGAGGGATGAGGCACTGTCCACAGTTCACACAGGAAGAAGTTAGACCCAGTGAGAATAAGTACCTTCCCAAGGCCCATGAGGTGGGGTCAGGGTCTGGCCCCTTCTCTTTCTTGGCCACCATACTGCACTACCTACTCCTCCCCCTGCCCCAAACACACACCATAGCAATTGTTCTGCTTGGGTCCAGATGCCCTGGGAGACAGATCTTTAAAAGTTAGCATGCCAAGCTTTGCACAGTGGCAGTATTGTAGCCAATGAGGTTTATCCGAGGTGCGATTATTGCTAATTAGAAGTTAGCATGCCAGGGGCGCCTGGGTGGCTCAGTCGTTGAGCGTCTGCCTTCGGCTCAGGTCATGGTCCCAGGGTCCTGGGATCGAGCCCCGCATCGGGCTCCCAGCTCGGCGGGAAGCCTGCTTCTCCCTCTCCTACTCCCCCTGCTTGTGTTCTCTCTCTCACTGTGTCTCTCTCTGTGTCAAATAAATAAATAAAATCTTTAAAAAAAAAAAAAGTGAGCATGCCAGTGCCACACGCTAGCCCCCGGCACCTGCACAGGCTCTGTGCCTTCAGTTATGGGGTCAAGAATCAACTCTGCTCCCTCTCTTTGATTTCAAAGGCCAAGCTTTGAGGTGCAAATCAGAAGACTCAGAAGAGGCCACATCCAGAATGTATTGTCCTTTGTCTTGGGAGGGAGGACTCAGCCAAGTCTATGTAGGGACAGTCGAGGGAAGCCACAGGGTATTCTCCTTGGTAATTCAGAAGGACTGGCATCTGTCATTGATCATAGAATGGTATTCTGCATAATGACAAACATGTACAGTCTGTGGTCACTTTCTTCCTGAAACAGATTTCAGGGCATTCTTGCTGGTCTGCTTTTTCCTTTCATCTGACTTTACTCAAGGGTGGTGGGTTGTGATGGGAACAGTTTATGAAGAATTTTCATTTAAAATTCCCTTATTTAAGTTGTCAGATGTAGATTGTTGTGGTTAATATGTCTGGCAAACTGGATGACGAAACCAGTGTGCAAACATATATGAAAGAATTGAAGACATTTTGTTGGAAGTATGCTTTGGAAAGAGACATCTGGGCACCTGCCGTTATTAACAAGGCTGGGATATAGCCTCTGGAGGGACCCAAGCTTACTTAAGTCTTTCTGTATCAGTGGGAACAGCAAAGAGGTGGTTGGTTGCTAGCTCTGGGTGTGGGTATCAGGTAGACTTTAAAATCACAGTTGCACTCAGTGATTCAACTTCAGACTCAGTAGCATTTGTTTCCATGTCTTTCCATTGGACAAAGGGCTCCATATCTAGATTTAAAATGAATGGGTCCAGCAGCCAGACTAGTTGGTTATGGGTAATCCTTGTTTCCCCCTATCAGGTACCAAGAGCTTCAAGAGTTTGGTGGGTTCTGTTGATGACTTCAGTCAGCAGGACTTAAATACTTACTCTCAGGGTCATGTGTCAGTCTCTCACAAGGGCTCCTTTTGCTGATTTTTGGCACCAGTGTGCTGGCTCCAACACTGTCTACTATGTGGAAAGTGACCTCAGCTATTCCGGCAAACACCTTATGAAGATGGTCCTGAGGAAAGTGACTAGCTGACAGTCCTTTCATAGCCTGTTTGACACGGGGTGACTGGCCAGCCTGTGTTTCAGGTCGTTTATGGGATTTCTTAAGAATACAGCAGTGTCCTGAGCATCTTTCTGACTTGGAGACACTTCCTGGGCTTTTCATCTTATGAGGCAAACTTGGTGGCTAACCTCTTTAATATCACATAGGGTGGGTCTGAAAAACTGTGTGACATCTCTTGCCCTGCCTTTCCCCCTTCCTGCCTTGGTGCCTGACCCTCTGTGTGGTTCAGCTGGTAGATTAGAGCTGAGTTTGAGTTCTAGCTCTGGCACCTGCCAACTGGGTGAGTCACTTCCTCTCTCTGAGCCACATTTCCCTCATCTATGGAGAGTGACGAGAGTCCCCACTTTGTGGGCTCACTGTGAAGATGGAGTGAGATCGGGGTTACAAAGAGCCTGGTAGAGGCTGGACAATTCCTGAATACTCACCAAGTGACAGTTCTTCATGTCATCTGCTCGGTCACTTGACTTCTCTTGGCCGCCTTCTGTTTGCCTCTTCCAGCCCCTCTGGGTTTCGTTTCCCTGGCTGTGGTCAAGGTGGTCATGGCATGGTGAGTTCCTTAGACTCATAGGGCTCACCATTGTGCAGTGTTTCCCCCCGGGCTGACCTGGCTTCCACCGTCTTATTTGCTTTCTAGCATCTTCAGGTTTCTGGACACATGTCAATCTTCTGTACTCCTTTTTTTTTTTTTTTAAACTATGAAGCAATCTTGTCCTCTGATTAAAGAGGACAGTCTGCTAGGTGGAAGTGGAGTGGGAGGTGGATAAACAAGATGGATGAGCAGTGGATAGAAGCATAGTGTCAAGCTGAGCAAAGGCTACGGCCCTAATTCTAAACTTTTCCTTACTTTCCAGGCTGTGTGTTTGAGGGTGTGCAGTACCGAGAAGGGGAGGAATTTCAGCCAGAAGGAAATAAATGTACCAGGTGTTCCTGTGTTGTAAGTATTGTCCTGGATGTTCTAAGGGTATTCCTTCACCAAGAACAGCCCTGATTCTCTTTACAGTCTCTCTTCCTCTCCCTCCTGACATGGAAGCAAGGAAAAAGCTCATCGCTCTAGGGCAGGTTTCTCAGCTTTGGCACTATTGACCAATAGTTCTGGGCTGGGTAGTTCTTTGTGGTGGGGGCATTGGGAATGCATGTTCCTGTGCATTGTAGGATGTTTAGCATTATCCCTGGCCACAGCCCATTAGGTGCCAGTAGGACTTACCCCCCCTCAGTTATGATAACCAAAAATGTCTGCAGACTTTGCCACATGTCTCCTGGAGAACAAGATCACACCTGGTTGAAAATCACTGGTTTAAAGAGTGAGGGAGGAAAGCTGGTTTTCCTCCACCTGCTTCTTCTTTAGGAAGCTCTGGATTCTCTTTTCTTTGAGGTAGCTGTTGAGTTCTTCAGGGCAGTCACATGGGAAGCAGAGGGGGATAAGTGCAGCTTGCCTCAGTATATTCTGTGGGGTGAGATAACCTGATCGGAGGCTTGGTCATTTTCACTGCGGGATGGAGAGGAGGAAATGGGCACTAAACTGTGGATTCAGAGCAGAGTAGGGATTAGTGAGACAAAGCCATAGACTTGCCTTTCTAAGAATTGTTGACTTGTGATTCATATACTAAGGATAGCTTCCGAGTACTTAGGAATGAAAGAAGGAACTTGGTGTATACCATAATTTTAAAGGGATGTGGTGATGATGGGGAGTCTAGTCTTAATCAGTGCTCCAAATTATTTATAGTAGGGAGTTAGTACAACCATATATTTTTATAACTTTTAATCTTTTGTAATGAAGAACAGATAGTATGCATATCAGAATATTAAAAAAAATACATGGAGAACGCCAGTATCCTAATTTCACCAAAGTAGAATCATATGTGGATCATCATGAATCATAACATTTGCCATTTCTCTACATATCTTTTCTAAAATCTTTCCCTTTTCCTATACCACACACTAAAGTGAACATGACCAAGGTTGATGGTTTTTGGATGGGGTAGAAGAAGGAAAGGAAGGAAGGGAGGGAGAGGGGATATATAAAGGGTATGTAATATGAGATGTATAATACCCATAATACTATAATAATATACAAAAATATGAAAGTGATTTCGTGATGAAGATGGACAGGAGTTTGCATATTCAGACTCAACTGTCATATTTTTCTACTTTGCTAATTATGGTTAAATAGCTTTCTGTTATTTTTTACATAAGTAAGCCTTTATAACAAGCCTATTTCTTAATTTTATTTCTTCCATATTGGTAAAGTTTTCTGATAATTTTTTAAGTTAATCTCATTCCTCTGGGTAAATTGAAGAAAAACAAGGCACATTTCAGTAGGAAATTTAATTTTTTAATTTTATTTTTTTTTGGAAAGATTTTTAATTTATTCTTTAGAGAGAGAGAGTGAGAGAGAGCACAAGCAGGGGGAGGGTCAGAGGGAGTGGGAGGAGCAGACTCCCTGCCAAGCAGGGAATCTGAAGTGGGGCTCAATCTCAGGACCCTGGGATCACGACCTGAGCCTAAGGCAGACACTTAACTGACGGAGACACCCAGGTGCCCCTCAGTAGGAAATTTTAAATCTGTACCTGCGTGAATTGTCTTTCCCGTAAAGGTGTGCCGAGATCAGGCAGCTGAGCCTCCTTGGGGAGGAAATTCAGAAGGTGGCAAGAGGACAGAAGTGTCCTGCAGTTTTGCCAGTGACGATCATACAAAGTTATCTAATGTCGGGAACTGGAAATGAGTTTAGCAACTATACATATAGGGGTCACAGACTCAAATGTGTCCAAGGTATTCAGATTTCATGTGTTTGTAAGCACAAAATGTGCTGAACAAAACATACCTGAGGGCCAAGTTCAGGCCCCTGGAAGTCCTGCTTTCATTTTCAATTGAAACAAAAATCCAGAGATGATGTTACTTGCCCAAGCTTTCCTGCTAGCGAGTTTTCTCCAAATCTCTATATCTTTTCTATATTCCTGTATTTTAATTTCCTAATTTCTTAATCCCATATTCTTTCCAGTTCTCTGTGTTGCCACCCTTAGCACATAAGGGGCAGTGAATGGCTTTTTCTTATGTTCCTGATGTCAGTCTCGAAGCTAATAGGGTAAGAAGAGAGGAGGGAGCTCTTGCCTGGGGATGAGACATTTGTGCCTAGGCTTGGTTATGAGGAGAGCTGTGAGAGCAGTTTTTCTTTTAAAAAATATAAAAATTTGAAGTGTCATGTTTGGTTTTTTGTAGTGGTTATTAAAATAACCTGGTTTTTCATATCCTTTCACTTTGTCACGTTTTGATGTAGTGCACTAAAAGAAAAAAAGATAATGTTTTGGCAGCAAACGGTTCTGTTTTGAGAGTAGTGACCCAGATGTTCGCTTTAGAAGCAACAGGGCAAATGTACAGCCTGACCCTGGGACCATGAGGCCCGGAGTTGATGGTGCTGCCCCGCAGCAGGCTTGGAAGCTTTGGCATGGAAGGTGCTAGGAGGAGTGAGGTGTCATCTTGCTGACTGAGGGGGCAAAGCCGGCCAAAGGCTTTGGACGGGACCAGTGTGAGGCTAACTGCTCTGCTGGGGAGGCTACAGGAAGGGGCGTAGGCTATAGATTTTCCTGTAAAAAAAAAAAGAAGACCGGGTATAATAACATGTGCTTCAGTAAAAAGGAAAGCAATACTATCCTGTGAGAGATACAAGCACATTTATGCATTTGAGCATGTATGTGGCATCTGTGTGTGTGTATATTTGCATGTGTAGGTGTCTATATCTATGAGTGTAGATAGCTACCTAAATATACAAGTCTATATAAACATGCCTACAGATAGAAATACAAACCCACACATGTCCGTGTCTCAGTTTGGATTCCCCCAGAAACAGACCCTGAGACAAGGATTTGCATGTAAGTCGTTTCTGTGGGAGATAGGAGTCTGGCAGAGGAGTGTGGTGATGAGATGAAGAGGGGAGGCAGCCAGTGGCGGGGATGTCACCAAGATGTCACCAGCCAGACACCAAGGGGATGTCTGTGTTAGACCGTGTGCTCGGCCAGAGTGCGCTCCTGCTGGGCAAACTCTGGAAGCCAGTGTGAGATTCACGCCTCCGAGTTTCCTGCTTGAGAGGTAAGGGAGAGGAGATGTGTTTACAGCAACTCCCATCTGCTCCAGGGGGCTGCTGACTGGGTACCATTCTGAGGCTGCCGCTCAGGTGACAAAGTGGCCTCTAGCAGCAAGAGGAAGAAACCCAGGTGGCGGCAGTTGGAAGCCTGGCGTGCACACTCATGTGCTAAGTGTGGGAGGAGGGGGGCGGGGCAGCAACACAGTCAGCTACAACATATTTGTGTGTGTCTATGGTACCTCGACACACACAAACTACACTTTAATTTGTTTTTTGAGAGAGAGAGAGCATGCACACTTGAGCTGGGAGGGGCAGAGGGAGAGGGAGAGAATCTTAAGCACACTCCATGCCCAGTGTGTAGCCAGATGAGGGGCTAGATCTCACGACTCTGAGATCATGGCCTGAGCCGAAATCAAGAGTTGGATGCTTAACCAACTGAGCCGCCCAGGCGCCCTCAGCACATTAATATGTTTCTATCTCCGAATATGTTTGTATATATGTGCGTGTCCATGTATTATATGTATATATTCATACACACATCTTTAGAACACTGGAGCACCAGTGTTTTCTTTTGCTCCTACTGCTGCTGCCTGGTCTGGAATTCCTTTCTTTTCCTTCTTCACCTGGTGGGTGCTTGAGCTCTCAGAGTCGGTTATCATGATCCCACTGCAACTCGTTGACCACTTTGTTTCCCAGAGAGTGGCAGCAGTGTTTTCTCATTTGTGTTCCCGAGGCTCACGGCTCTCACTGGCTAGTTTGCCCGCCATCTTTTGCTCCCTCCTTCTCTCACACACACATGCACGCACACGCACCCACACACACACTTCCAGGTAGCAGGTTGTAGCATGATTACTGGTTTATCTTACTTTGGTCCGTGTTTACACCGTATGCTCCATCAGGGAAAGAGCCATGTCTCCTAATGCACGTCTTTCTAACCTTGGTGCTTAGCGATGTGAGTGTTCAGTGATGTTAGCATTCTTTGATATTGCTGCCTTGTGACGTAGTACATTACAACCCAGTGATCTCTTCTCTTCCGGTGACAATTCTGCCCTTCTGAGCTGGCCAGCCCCTTCTTGCCTAGGAGAGTGGCTATTGTATGTAGATAGCCCATTCTCATTAGATTTCTGTTTGCCTGGGAGACACCTTAAGGATGTACGTGCAAAGCATCCCTAGTGTATGTTAGCCATCTCTGATGGATGACCTTGCCAGCTCTCTGAGGTGTTCCTCGCTCTCAAGTAAATATTGCATGTACCATGTGGCTTATATTTTATATCCAGCCCTTTTAGTTACACTCTCCAAATTTGTGAAAACTGGTCTACCCGTGTTTATGTGATGTGGTGACAGCAGCAGACCACCAGAAAGACATTTCATCTTCTTGAGATGGATTCCTTAGATGATGAAACAAATGCCTTACGCATGATTTTACGTCCTTGATTTAGGTCAGGACAGTATATATGGCATTCCAGACAGTTGAGAACATGCTAACATTTGAAGGTATCTGGAGAGGATTTCACAACCTCTTGCTCTTACTCATTCTAGAAGCAGAGCATCTAACATTTTTAGGTGTGAATATCATCATGACTCACATAGAAAATGCATTGCTTTCCTATCACTTGTTAAACTATATAATCCCCATTTACCCATTACATAAATAAGAGAGCCAAGAGAATCACTTCTCCAGAGTCCCAGTACTAATGGGGGGGCGGGTGAAAACTCGAGTTCTTTTGGCTGTTCCATAGAGTTGGCTGAGTCATACTGGAGTGCATTCCTTATGGCATGTGTTCAGTCTGAATAAGTCCTACACTCATTTTAAAATGGAAAGAAGATGATTCTTTCCTAACACAGAAGCAAAGTGT